TGCTGAGTTATGAATGAAAAGTAAGTTGGATGTCCTGCCCCATAGCGAAATCAAAGCGTGAAGGGGGTAGGGGAAGTATTCGGTGGGGGGAAATAAATGGATATAAATCTGGAGTATCTGATGAGAGTTAGAGTCAAAGGAAGGGGTAGCAGTAATGTGGAAGGTATCAGTTATGGAAGGAGTTAAAGTAGAATATAGAAATGTGTAAATCAAGAATTATGTGGATTAACAGTAAAGGTTGGATGCAAAGTGTGGTCATAATAAGTGTGTATGCACCTGGAGAAGAGAAGGAATGTAGAGGAGAGAGAGATTTTTGTGGAGATGTTTAAGGAGAAAGTGAATGGTATAGGATGTTCCGTTTTGAAGCGCAAGTGAGAGATAATTGTGGTAGTGCGGACTGAATCTAAAGGTAGAGAACTTTTAGAGAGGGTTGTGGAGTTAGGTAAGTTTGGGGTGGCGCATGTGTCAATGAAAATGGAGGGGCCGGCTTTGATTTGAACCTTTGTATAAAAGGGGGTTTAGTTATAGGTAATTTGACATATTTTAAAGAAAAAGGGATAAATAAGTATACAGAGATATGATGTAGTGGCATTAAAATGGACATACTTTGTTGATTATGATATTGAGTAGATCAAGAGACGTGTTGAGTAGAACTTCAGGATTAGCATGTTTATAAGAGGGGGGCTGGGGGGGTTCCCGCAGGCCGCAGCCAGATATATCAGGGATCACTTTCTATTGTAGAGCTTAGCATCTGAGATAAAAAGGTGAGATGGGATGCAATGAGAATAGAAGCGATCAGGGAAGAGAGAGGTTAGGAGGTTTAATGTCACTAAAAGAGGAACAGGGAGGGTAAGAGATACAACCAGCTTGTTGGAGGATATATGGATCTAACAAGAACATAAGGGCAATGGGGTCAAAGAGGTATGGGGTAGGTTTAAAAATGTAGTGTTGGGGAGTTTCAGCAGAAGTTTGGGGTTTTACAGGAAAGTGGGTGCGGGAGGGAAGAGGAGCGATTGGTGGAATGATGATGTAAAGAGAGTAGTAAGGGAGAAAAGTTAGCATATGAGAAGTTTTTATAAAGTAGAAGTGATGCAAGGAGGGAAGAGTATATGGAGAAAAAGAGAGAGGTTAAGAGAGTGGTGAAGCAATGTAAAAGAGAGCAAATGAGAGAGTGGGTGAGATGTTTATCAACAAACTTTGTTGAAAATAAGAAAAAGTTTTGGAGTGAGATTAACAAGTTAAGGAAGCCTAGAGAAAAAATGGATTTGTCTGTTAAAAATAGGAGAGGAGAGTTATTAAATGGAGAGTTAGAGGTATTGGGAAGATGGAGGAATATTTTGAGGAATTGTTAAATGTTGATGAAGATAGGGAAGCTGTGATTTCGTGTATAGGGCAAGGAGGAATAACATCTTGTAGGAGTGAGGAAGAGCCAGTTGTGAGTGGGGGGAAGTTCATGAGGCAGTAGGTAAACTGAAAGGGGGTAAGGCAGCCCGGATTGATGGGATAAAGATAGAAATGTTAAAAGCAGGTGGGGATATAGTTTTGGAGTGGTTGGTGCAATTATTTAATAAATGTATGGAAGAAGGTAAGGTACCTAGTGATTGGCAGAGAGCATGCATAGTTCCTTTGTATAAAGGCAAAGGGGACAACTCTCTTTTGTCCCCTTTGCCTTTATAGGGGAATAAGTCTGTTGAGTATACCTGGTAAAGTGTATGGTAGAGTTATTATTGAAAGAATTAAGAGTAAGACGGAGAATAGGATAGCAGATGAACAAGGAGGCTTTAGGAAAGGTAGGGGGTGTGTGGACCAGGTGTTTACAGTGAAACACATAAGTGAACAGTATTTAGATAAGGCTAAAGAGGTCTTTGTGGCATTTATGGATTTGGAAAAGGCATGTGACAAGGTGGATATGGGGGCAATGTGGCAGATGTTGCATGTGTATGGTATAGGAGGTAGGTTACTGAAAGCATTGAAGAGTTTTTATGAGGATAGTGAGGCTCAAGTTAGAGTATGTAGGAAAGAGGGAAATTATTTCCCAGTAAAAGTAGGCCTTAGACAAGGATGTGTGATGTCCCAGTGGTTGTTTAATATATTTATAGATGGGGTTGTAAGAGAAGTAAATGCGAGGGTCTTGGCAAGAGGCGTGGAGTTAAAAGATAAAGAATCACACATAAAGTGGGAGTTGTCACAGTTGCTCTTTGCTGATGACACTGTGCTCTTGGGAGATTCTGAAGAGAAGTTGCAGAGATTGGTGGATGAATTTGGTAGGGTATGCAAAAAAAGAAAATTGAAAGTGAATGCAAGAAAGAGTAAGGTTATGAGGATAACAAAAAGATTAGGTGATGAAAGATTGGATATCAGATTGGAGGGAGAGAGTATGGAGGAGGTGAATGTTTTCAGATATTTGGGAGTGGACATGTCAACGGATGGGTCTATGAAAGATGAGGTGAATCATAGAATTGATGAGGGGAAAAGGGTGATTGGTGCACTTAATTGTCTGTGGAGACAAAGAACTTTGTCCTTGGAGGCAAAGAGGGGAATGTATGAGAGTATAGTTTTACCAACGCTCTTATATGGGTGTGAGGAATGGGTGATGAATGTTGCAGCGAGGAGAAGGCTGGAGGCAGTGGAGATGTCATGTCTGAGGGCAATGTGTGATGTGAATATAATGCAGAGAATTCATAGTTTCGAAGTTAGGAGGAGGTGCGGGATTACCAAAACTGTTGTCCAGAGGGCTGAGGAAGGGTTGTTGAGGTGGTTCGGACATGTAGAGAGAATGGAGCGAAACAGAATGATTTCAAGAGTGTATCAGTCTGTAGTGGAAGGAAGGCGGGGTTAGGGGTCGGCCTAGGAAAGGTTGGAGGGAGGGGTAAAGGAGGTTTTGTGTGCGAGGGGGCTTGGACTTCCAGCAGGCATGCGTGAGCGTGTTTGATAGGAGTGAATGGAGACAAATGGTTTTTAATATTTGACGTGCTGTTGGAGTGTGAGCAAAGTAACATTTATGAAGGGGTTCAGGGAAACCGGCAGGCTGGACTTGAGTCCTGGAGATGGGAAGTACAGTGCCTGCACTCTTAAGGAGGAGTGTTAATGTTGCAGTTTAAAAACTGTAGTGTAAAGCACCCTTCTGGCAAGACAGTGATGGAGTGAATGATGGTGAAAGTTTTTCTTTTTCGGGCCACCCTGCCTTGGTGGGAATCGGCCAGTGTGATAATAAAAAAAAAAATAACGTTTCTATCAAGACAGTCTGGAGTTGTGACACACATTGATCGCAGGTTTAAACCCCACCCTTGGTATGGTTTGTTTGCAATTGTGTCATTACAACAGTGCATTAGTGTTCGCAATAAAGCTAACAGAATTCTTGGCTTCATATCTTGAAGTATAAATAATAGAAGTCCTCAGGTTGTTCTTCAACTCTATATATCCTTGGTTAGGCCTCATTTAGACTATGCTGCTCAGTTCTGGTCACCGTATTACAGAATGGATGTAAATGCTCTGGAAAACGTGCAAAGGAGGATGACAAAGATGATCCCATGTATTAGAAATCTTCCCTATGAGGTTAGACTGAGGGCCTTGAATCTGCACTCTCTCAAAAGGCGTAGAATTAGGGGGGATATGATCGAGGTGTATAAATGGAAAACAGGAATAAATAAAGGGGATGTAAATAGTGTGCTGAAAATTTCCAGCCAAGACTGGACTCGCAGCTATGGTTTCAAGTTGGAAAAATTCAGATTCAGGAAGGATATAGGAAAGCACTGGTTTGGTAATAGAGTTGTGGATGAGTGGAACGAGCTCCCGAGTACAGTTATTGAGGCTGAAACGTTGTGTAGTTTTAAAAATAGGTTAGATAAATACATGAGTGGGTGTGGGTGGGTGTGAGTTGGACCTGACTAGCTTTGCTGCTGGGTCTGGTACAGTGTTCCATCCTTGAGTGGGGATGACCAGACTGGGTGGGTCATTGGGATAATCCGGGGGGTGGGTCATTGGTCTAATCCGGGGGGTGGGTCATTGGTCTAATCTGTGGGGGGACACGGACCTGGTCCGCGTGGGTCAGTAGGCCTGTTGTAGTGTTCCTTCTTTCTTATGTTCTTATTACAATTTTGTGAGTCATGGGACAAGACATTGTCATTGAACATGTTGCAGGCACGGCTTGCAACTGTTTTGTTAGGGTGATAATTCTCCGCAAAATTTTGCTACTCACTCTACTTTGCGCAGGTGTCCTTAATCACTAAGAAGGCACATTCTTGCCAGAATGGAACTGATTGTTGATTTGGACTTTCCATACATCCTTGCGAGCTTGGCCACACGTACGCCACTTTTGTATTTTGATAAAAGCTCTTTATTGAATTCTGTCATGTTTCTCACCTTTACCAAAGGGCTGGCACTCTGAGCTTTCTTTGGCCCCATGGTGGCTTATTTTGCAGTCGCACTCAATAAACAAGCACTGAAAACAATGGATGAACGCACAGAGTATTGTTCACTTGACAAGTGACAGAGGCAGACTGAGTCAGGTGGCGGCGGCCCGGGCAAGCAGATGTGTTTGATACAAACAATTTCCGAGTCGATGTACAAAACCCAGAGTAAAAATTCTCCGAAAAAAGTGGTTGAAATCTGAATTGTACAATATTTGGACTGGATGAAAACCAGAGTTTTACTGTATTCTACAGATTTACCAAGGATTTTTTTTCTATGAAGTAGGAAGACTAGGTTTAAAAAAAATATATTTCAAGGATATGCTTTGTTTGGTGCTGGTGATGGGCTCTTGATACTTTGTAGTTGATCATTATAGTACTGTAGTGTTCAACCTGTTACTTCATCATCCATCTTTGATCTGTCAGAAATATTATTTCCACATTAAAAATTGTCATTAAATATCATCAAGTTTCAAAATTATTTAGTTTTATTAGGTTGGCAACATTTTCAGTTGCCCCTGTGATATTCATTTTTTCATGGTAATTATTTTTGTGCTTTCTTGTGTATAGAAAGTTAATCAATTTTCTTAGGTTGGTGTGGAAAGAGAAATAGTGGGATCTGGTGTGCGGCAGCTGATGCACAGATTAGTAGTTTGTCTGGATGGAGGAAGCTTGCTGCCTTTACTGCCTCCGGCCTCTCAGGCTCTCCTCCACACACCTTCACCTACTGTCCTCACGAATATCTTCCCCTCATCAATCAGATCATCACCAAATTTCAGGTAACAATCTCCAATAAGTATTTATGTTGTTTCATATTCAACTAATTGTAAATTTTTCTTCTTTCAATGCACCAGCCATATCCCACCGAGGCAGAGTGACCCAAGAGGAAAAACGAAAGTTTCTCCTTTTAAATTTAGTAAAATATACAGGAGAAGGGGTTACTAGCCCTTTGCTCCTGGGATTTTAGCCACCTCTAATGACACATAGGGCTTGTGAAGCAAGAATTCTTTTCCACTTTCCCATGGAGATATGAGGAAATAAACCAGAATAAGAACTAGTACGAAAATAGAAGAAAGCACAGAGAGGTGTGTATATATGTGTTTGTACACTGCAACCACCTAGGGAGGTACTACTGTCCTACCAAGCGAGTGTAAAACTAGAGCCTGTAATTGTTTTACATTATGGTAGGCTTGCTGGTGTCTTTTGCCTGTCTCATAAATATGCACGATTACAGGTATGTCTTGCTACTTCTACTTACACGTAGGTCACACTACACACACATGTACACTTTTATTTATTATTTTTTATTATCACACTGGCCGATTCCCACCAAGGCAGGGTGGCCCGAAAAAGAAAAACTTTCACCATCATTCACTCCATCACTGTCTTGCCAGAAGGGTGCTTTACACTACAGTTTTTAAACTGCAACATTAACACCCCTCCTTCAGAGTGCAGGCACTGTACTTCCCATCTCCAGGACTCAAGTCCGGCCTGCCGGTTTCCCTGAATCCCTTCATAAATGTTACTTTGCTCACACTCCAACAGCACGTCAAGTATTAAAAACCATTTGTCTCCATTCACTCCTATCAAACACGCTCACGCATGCTGCTGGAAGTCCAAGCCCCTCGCACACAAAACCTCCTTTACCCCCTCCCTCCAACCCTTCCTAGGCCGACCCCTACCCCGCCTTCCTTCCACTACAGACTGATACACTCTTGAAGTCATTCTGTTTCGCTCCATTCTCTCTACATGTCCGAACCACCTCAACAACCCTTCCTCATCCCTCTGGACAACAGTTTTGGTAATCCCGCACCTCCTCCTAATTCCAAAACTACGAATTCTCTGCATTATATTCACACCACACATTGCCCTCAGACACGACATCTCCACTGCCTCCAGCCTTCTCCTCGCTGCAACATTCATCACCCACGCTTCACCCCATATAAGAGGTTGGTAAAACTATACTCTCATACATTCCCCTCTTTGCCTCCAAGGACAAAGTTCTTTGTCTCCACAGACTCCTAAGTGCACCACTCACTCTTTTTCCCTCATCAATTCTATGATTCACCTCATCTTTCATAGACCCATCCGCTGACACGTCCACTCCCAAATATCTGAAATAGTTCACCTCCCCCATACTCTCCCCCTCCAATCTGATATTCAATCTTTCATAAAATATTATCTGAGTTTTTTTTGATTTTATCTTAATGTTTTTCGTTCTTTTTACTTTTTCCTTTTATACCCATGGGGAAATGGAATAAGAACTTACTCCAAACCCCATGCATGTTGAAAAAAAGTCACTGAAATCCCAGGAACAAGGGGACTAAAACCCTGTTTTCCTGTACAGTTAATAAAAAATGATGAAAAAAAAATTTGTCAAGTGGTGTTTTAAACCCCTTTGACTGTTGCGGTGGTATTTGTACGTCATAGGGATACTGTTTTTTGAGTTTGGCGTACTATAAGCATAAATTCTAGCGGCTTCAATCAAGCAAGAAAGCTGGTGGGCCCACAGTGAGAGAAGGGTCTCCATGGTCGTGTGCCCCATATAAAAAAAAATCGGGGACCCGGGGTGCATTGGGGGGAATACCATTTCGTCGCCTTTTTCAGCAGTTAGCAAAAGAAATATGTGCTTCCTCAAATTGGGGATTTTCTCTTCCCAAGTGATGCTCAACCAGATGGAAGTGTAATTTCATGATTCCAGGGTTTAGCCCAAAAAGCAATGGGGGAGGTGGAGGAGGAGGAGGAAGAGGAGGAGGAGGAAGAAGAGGGGGAGGAAGAAGAGGAGGGGGAAGGGAAAGGAGGAAGGGGAAGGAAGGAGGGAGGAGGGGGAGGGGGGAGGAGGAGGAAAGGGGGAGGAAGAAGGGGAGGAAAGAAGGAGGGAGGGGGAGGAAGGGGGGGGGAGGAAGGGGGAGGAGGAGGAGGGGAGGGGGGGGGGAGGAGGAAGGTGGAAGGTGGAAGGAGGAGGAAGAAAAGAAGAAGAAGAAAAATACCTAATACCTAATAATAATAATATGAAATAATATTTTCCCTTTGGGGCATGAAAAATTTTCACCCCATGACAGTGACAAAAAAGGGGGAGAAAACACTGATAAAAAGCTGACCTTTGATACCCGAAAAAGGGGGTGGAGGGAGGGGGGCAGCTGTCCATCTTCGACCCAGGGGGAGGAGAAGGAGAAGAAGGAGGGGGAGGGGAGAAGGAGGGGGGAGAAGGGGGAGGGGGAAGGGGGAGGGGGAGAAGATGAAAACAACAAAAATTTGTCTGCTCCCAAAAACCCCTTCTTCCGTCTAGCTCTGTTCAGGACCCAAAAACTGTGTCTCATCCTTTACTCACATTTCAAGCAGGTATGCACTTTGTCGGGATTTTTGGGTTATCCTGGGTTTTTTACATTTTAGTTGTATTTTGTACCTGTGAGACAGAATAGACAGAGAGAGAGAAAGGGAGAACAGATTAAAAGAGAAGAATGAGGGGAAAGAAAATTTAATAGAATGGGGGGGAACAGCACCGACCCCATTTTTTTGAGGGGCAGTAGGCAGTGAGTAATGAACAATATGTCATTTTGACAGCTGCCGACTCCTGACTCAAAACAATTATAAGGCCCACACTCGCACACAAGACAAGCTTGCTGGGGGTGAAAATAGGAGTTTTATAAAAGTATCTAGTGACTATATATGTGTATAATTATAAAAACCCAGAAGCAAGAAGGGAAAAGGCAGGAATAAAGGAAGGACAGATGAAGGAAGGAAAAAAGTAATAAAGGGAAATGAAGGAAGTGGGAAAGAGAGGGGGAAATGCCCTCCGGTACCCTCCAGGTGGAAAGGAATAAAGGGAAAATTGGAAAGGGAAGGATGACACGCGACCATTTACCTAGGATAACTACATAAAACAACTGCCCGCTAATACTTTGAAGAAAACTCTCGACGAGGTTTTTTGTTTTGTACATAAAAAAAAAAATTTAACAAAAATGCACCACATGATTTTAGGGAGAGTTAAAAAACCATTTGTGTTGACACCATGTTTTTTTGTGTGAGAGTGTAAAAAAACCACGTGTATGACACCTGTTTTATGTGTGAGAGTGTAAAACCCAGTGTATGCACCTGTTTTTGTGTGAGAGTGTAAAAAAACCATTGGTATGACACCATGTTTTATGTGTGAAGTGTAAAACACCACTTTATGACACCTTTTTATGTGTGAGTGTAAAACACCATTGTGTATGACACCATGTTTTTTGTGTGGAAATGTAAAAAACCACTGTTATGACACCCGTTTTATGTGTGAAGGAAAAAACCCCTGTGTATGACACCTTTTTTTATGTGTGAGAGTGAAAACACCACTGGTATGACACCATGTTTTATTTTGGGGGAGTGTTTAAAAAACCCCCTGTGTATGAAAACCCTGTTTTTGGTGAGGAGTGTAAAAAACCCTTGTGTATGACCCAGTTTATGTGTGAGGAGTGTAAAACCCTTGTGTTGACCCATGTTTTAGTGTGAGGGTGTTAAAAAACCATTGTTATGACACCTGTTTTATGGTGAGAGTGTAAAAAACCATTGTGTTGACACCATGTTTTATGTTGAGGTGTAAAACACCATTGTGTTTTCACCATGTTTTATGGTGGAAGTGTAAACACCCCCTGTGTATGACACCATGTTTTTTTGTGTGAGAGGTAAAACACCCTTGTGATGACACCATGTTTTATGTGTGAGGAGTGTAAAAACCACTGTGTTGACACCATGTTTTATGTGTGAGGTGTTTAAAACACCATTGTGAGACACCATTTTTTATGTGTGGGAAATGTAAAAAACCATTTTTTTGAAAACCATTTTTATGTGTGAAGTGTAAAAAAACCATTGTGTATGACACCTGTTTTACTGTGAGTGTAAAACACCATTTGTATGACACCATGTTTTTTGTGTGAGGTGTAAAACACCCTTGGTATGACACCATGTTTTTTTCTGTGATGAAACACCATTGTGTATGACCATGTTTTATGTGTGGAATGTAAACACCATTTTGTATGACACCATGTTTTATGTGTGAGAGTGTAAAAACCATTGTGTATGACCATTTTTTATGTTGAGAGTGTAAAAAACCTTGTGTAGACCCATGTTTTATCTGTGAGTGTAAAACACCTTGGTATGCCCCCTTTTTATGTGGAGAGTGTAAAACACCATTGGTATGACACCATGTTTTTTGGTGAGGGGGTAAAACACCATTTTGTATGACACCATGTTTTATGTGTGGAGTGTAAAAACCACTGGTATGACACCTGTTTTATGTGTGAGAGTGAAAACACCACTGTGGGGTGACACCATGTTTTTGTGTGAGAGTGTAAAACACCCCTGTGTAGACACCATGGTTTTAGTTGAGGTGTAAAACACCACTGTGTAGACACCCTGTTTTTTTTGTGAGGAGTGTTAAAACACCACTGTGTATGACACCCTGTTTTATGTGGAAGTGTAAAAAACCCCGTGTAGACACCGTTTTTTGTTGAGAGTGTAAAACACCATGTGTTGACACCCTGTTTATGTTGGAGTGTAAAACACCCGTGTTGGAACATGTTTTTAGAGTTCCACAAGCTGCAGAACTTCTAGGGAAAATTTTCAGTGGGCTGTATTTTGGTATATATATTATAGAACAAAAGTAATAAAAATTTTTTTTATTGTTTGTTTTTGTACACAAGTTTTGTAAACAATATATTGATAAATGTTTGTGTGCTTATTGTGTTGTATACAACGGTGATATATGTACATTGCACCTTCTTTGGTTCAAAGCCACATAAAT